TCCCAGGATTCCCCAAGGCTGGCTGGGGAATTCTGGGAGTTGAAGTCCACCCATCTTCAAGGGGCCCAGGGTGGGCAACACGGACCGGAGGAGCAATCCTTCTGGTTCTCCGTCAGGCAGCCACATAGGGTTGTGTCCAGTGGTGTTGGGGTGGGATCCTGCTGGACTTGCCCCTGTGTTGGGAGAGACCACAGATAAAGGGAGGGGGCTCAAGAAGGTGACCCAGCACTGGTTGCCTATGACAGGGGTGAGGCCATCTGTCTTTGGTTCGGTTATCAGAATTCTGTCCAGCTTTTCCATCGTTGGAACCCCAGGCTCAGTTCCACTTTCACGGGGCAGTCACTCTCACTCGGGCCAGCCTACCTCACCAGGCTGTTGTTCAGGGGATAAAGTGACGGGAGAGCCCCATGGAAGCTGCCTTGAGCTCCTGAAAGAAGGTGGGATATAAACCTAATAAATAATATTTTTTATTATAATTTTATTGAAGTTTACAGATACAAAGATAGAAAATGAATACAAATTAAGAAAAATATAAAAAGGAAAAAGAAAACATTCAGAGAAAAAGCAAAAAAACAGTAAGAAAAAAGTTATATAAAGAAATGACTTCCCTCTTCATCAAGACAAGTACAATTTCAGTGACATATCACCTCTGATATTTCAGCAAAAGTTGTCTTCTTCCCATATCCCATCTCTTATCTATAAACAAATTATAAAGCCTCATCATTCAGTCCTAATCAGCCAAAGTCCATTAAGAGTTACCAGGAACAATAACATATATATTTTAACTTAATCAGATAAACCAGTTTTATATTTCTTTCCTTTTAATACAGTAACTTATCACTTTCTCTAAAAATAGCAAAAGATCTCTTCTTCCCATATCTTATCTACAAAAAAAATCTTTTAAGCCTTGTCATTCGTTCTTTGGTCCTAGTCAAGAAAAGTCCATTAAGAGCTACCAGAAACAACAATGTACAGTGGTACCTCAGTTCACGAACTTAATTTGTTCCACAACTCTGGTCGCGAACCGAATTGGTCGCGAACCAAATCAAATTTTCCCATAAGGTTCAATGTAAATATGGTTAATCCGTTCTGACCCCTACGAATGTGGTCGCCAACCGAATCAAATTTTCCCATAAGGTTCAATGTAAATATGGTTAATCCGTTCTGACCCCTATGAATTTGGTCGCCAACCGAATCAAATTTTCCCATAAGGTTCAATGTAAATATAGTTAATCCGTTCTG